CCCCCCCCGACACTGGAGACACACCTGAGCCTGGTTTGATAGGGCATAAGCAAGAACAGAGTTCAACCTTTTACGTTTCAACATTTGGCATGACAGGATTTTACAATCGCTCCTTTCTCCCGAAGATTCGAGGCAAAAGTAACGGGGAACAGTCAAACACATGTCCAGCGGGTTTGGAGGGGAAGAACGTGATCTGAATGTAAAAGGACATTTCCAAGAAATACCTCACTGGGGCGGGCAGGAGAGCATCTCTCCGGTACCGCGGGCCTGAGCAGGGTCAGCAGGACGGAAAGGCTTGGATTTTGCAAGCTCCAAACCACAGAGCCAACCCACAAAAGGATGGGGGTAGGGACAACCTTTCAGAGGTCAAAGGTAAGACCAGCAGGAAACATATACAAAACTTTGCCACCGATTTGGAAAGTTTAAATAGCCTCTTCCAACGTGTTACGAGCTTGGACTTACATTTAAGGGTTTATTTAGCATCTCGTTACAAGGTGGGATGTTTTGTGCATTTTGCAACGTACACAGGTCTGCCTTTTAACTTCTCAACACTTGCCCTGCTTACAGAAGAAACTCTCCAATTAATCCTGTGAGCAGGAGCACAGGGCTTCAGCTTCGAAAACCAATGGAAAAAGGAAACTGCAGAGCTGCTGTCTGGGGGAGAAAATTAACAGGATCCAAACTCACCTAGCAGCTAGACCAAGAGTTAAAGCATGCAGAAGTGGCAACAAACACCAACACTTTCATCCTATGGAAGAGCAGATCCTTTCAGCACAGCGGCACTTGCAAGGAAGCAGGTTTTAGGCTGAAAGCAAGAATGGTCTCCCTTCTATAGCAAGACCTTCAAGAGTTTTGTGCATGCTGGGCTTTGTGTTAATCAGCTGAAGGATCACAAGCTTTGGGTGAGATGAGAAAACATCACATTCTCCATTCTAAGAGGTGGTGGTCTTAGGATGCGAGGAAGTGTGACTTCTGCCAGGCCATACAGTAGGGCAGCAGGAGAGCAGAAAACACTCTGTTCTGATGATCCCCTGCTCTCTGTCAAATGGAGCAGGAAATAGCGCTCTGCTCCTTGAAGCTTATTTCCCATCCCAGGACCATCCCTATTGCACCTCCCTTCTCCTCATCCACTCCAGTCCTCACGTTTCCCAAAGGGGGAACTGTCACTTCACTGAAGAGACACAAACTATGGTTCCTGTAAAAGCTATTAATTTTCATTGGTGATATTCATGTACCGACACACAAACTTCCGCGCTCCACAGAGTGTTGTGTTGCAGCACCACAATCCCCTCCATAAGCCCCTACCAGCAGTCCTCGAGAACAGCTGTTGCCGTCCTGGTTGTAGGTCTCACACATTGACATTGGCTCCTCTTCCCCTGTAGCTCCTCCTGCATTTCCCTCACTGGCAGCATTGTCCCACGGTCACACCTTTGCTTGATGCCCACCAGCAGCGGGTGACCTGCTCTGACATGTGGCTGCCAGCTGCGGGCTGATGGCGGAGGCTGTGACACCACGCTGCACTGCAGCTGGACGTGTGCTGTCTAGCGGAGCCTCACACGTGGAGCAGCTCCGGCAGACAGCACCTGCCACAGCTGCTGCCCGTGCCGCTGCCTCCCTGCCGCATGACTTGATGCACTGAGTCAAGTACTTCGGCAAAGAAGGAACTTGAGAGGTCTGAGTGGCACGTACAACACAAGATCCTCCCACAGAGGCTGGGAATACTTGGGTTGCAGGAGGTGTTTGCTGTGATTTCAAGAACACTTCCCTGAGGTTTTGCACCAGCTGAGAATCTGACAGCAGCAGATCTTTGCCATAAATAATTGCTCAGTGACAGTACTTCACAGAAGACATAATGGCCATGCATTTCCTCTTCCCAGCGAACTTAGGGAACTTTTGGTCATCAGTAAAGAGTAGGGGCAGGACACTATAAGAGTCACAGCAAAGAGAACGTGCCCATTTTAGACATGGTCACACGCTGACAGCTTTCTAACGGAGTAATTAGCAACTGAGTAAAACAGCTTTGTAATCTTTTCAACTGTCACAATAGCACCATTGCATATGTGTTAGGCTTTTAAAAAAAGTGAGCTCCAATCCTGACCAGTATTTCTGCCCCACTACCAGCCTGGAGAAATATATACTCCCAATTGCTAGCTATGTCCAAGGCAAGAAGTTGCAGTGCAGAATCAGTCCCAATAGCCAGTAGGACAGGAAGTATCCAAGAATGCATTTGGCGAGGGGGGTATTTAACCTATAGTTGAGCAGTAACCTCACAACGGGGTTTTCAGAAATCCCTTTCTCATAGGAGCCAGCAAGAGAGTTACCTAAAACAGACTTCTCAGAGAGAGATGCTGTGGTTTGATTATCAGTCCCTTCATTCCAGAGCAAAGGTTCATACTCTTGAAGCAGGTGAGCAGAAAACCAGTAGAGGATCGGCGTGGCGGAGCCAAAGAACCTGGTTAGAACCTGAGAACATGCAGAGAGAATCCCATAAATTGCAGGCCTTTGCCTCTAAACAACCCGATTCTGAAGAACGGAAGGAGCAATCTATCTGCCTGAAAAAGATTACTAATAAAAACAAATAAAATATAGCCCTACTTCACAGTGCTAGGATTTATTACACTTGGAATGAAACGCCTCTCAGCTCAGGGCTGCTTTATTTATGAAGACTTTGTCTCCAGGTTTTGGGCAAACAGATTGCCACAAAATCACTGAAATCCTTGTCAACAGTCCAGCTCAGGAATTGAGCAGTAGCAGTAGCTTCAGGGGAGATTTGAACCTCAATGTTCAACCATTTTTTTCTGGATTTTCACTGGAACCCCCAATCTTTAGTGTCACTAGCTATATCCTGAAAAGGCCCTGAAACTCTTTCTCGGGACCGGCAACTGGCTCTGGATCCTTTCATTGCCATCCATTCAAATTCTACCCAACACGATAATGACCCAGTATCCTTATCCTCTGACAGCTGTTTAGCAGGGTTTGGCAAGCCTGGCATTAAACACATTTGAAATGCCTCCTAACACCAGCTGGTACCTTTGATCCAAGTCCTAGTGTCCTCATCACACAAAGCAACTTCCCTTCAGGAATCCTCCGGGAAACAAGAGGAACTAAATGCTTTTGGAAACTGACTGGGGAAATAGCTCCTAGGGAGGAAAGGTAAAGCTTTTGGAAGCAACGTTTGCATTGTCCTGTGCCTGTCCCGCAGCTTAGAGAACTTCAGATTGTGTGACTGTCACTGAGTCACCTCAGCCCCCACGCTGTATTCCCTTTAAGAAATCACTTCGCTATGTTGCTATGAATGTCATACCTGCACGTGCATGCAGAAGACTCCAAACAGCAGCAGGACTGTGGCATGGACCACATACACCAAGACAGCGGGGCAGCAAAATCCAGTTCCTGGTTTACCCTCTCCTTGCTCTTCTCCATTCTTTCTCCTCTCTAGACCAAGAGTTAGGCAGTGCCGAGGGTTGGCAGTGAGGTAGGTCCAGGCAGCCCATGAGCCCAGAAGTGTGACAGGCAAAGCAAGCAAGAAATTTGGTACCTGTCTGAGCTCAAAATACCTTAGAAAGCCCACATTCCAGTAAACGTCTTGAATATAGGAATAGACCACAGGGAACCGCTGGGAACACCAAGGGGGTCTAAGCCCATTCTTGGCGGCTAGACGATAGCCCTTGTCCAGAGCCAGCTGCAGCAGCGGCTTGGGTACACTCTGCTGCAGGCCGGTGCCAGGAGCACAGAACCTCACGTAAGCATAATACTGAAATAAAGCAAATGGTAGAAAGATCCCAGCACACATCAGAATGACTGAAGATGCCAAGCTAAGGAGTTGTCTCCAAAACGGAGGGAGCTTCCTTACCAATCGTGAACCCACCTGGAGCTGGAGGGCAAAGCATTTACTGCGGGAATAGATAAAGAAGCCAGCATTGACAAGCCCATTGGCACGCACCCCAGAAGCAAGGGAGAAGAGCAGTCCACTGAGCCAGGTCTGCCCCTTCTCCAGTTGCCACATGGCACTGAACGCCAGAAAGGCAAACATGCTCTCCGAGTAAGCAGCTGCCATAAATATGTTGGCAGGGCTGATACAAAACAGAATGGCAGCGAGGAAAGCCACCCTGTGACACCGCAGCACGACACAGCCCAGCTTATACAGGGCAGCCGCTGCCAGGACAGAAAAGAGAGAATTAAGAAGAACAGCTGATAGCAGCAGGCGGCTTCGCAAACGCAACAGCCACTGCAGGGGCCATAGAGCAACTTCTGCCACGGCGCGCACGCTCAGGGGGTACACTGGGAAGAAGGCAAAGTTGTGCTCATACAGGTAGCCTCGCTCAGCGATGAAGAGGAAGTGCTCCGCGTCCCAGTGCGAGAGGCCTCCCAAAAGCCATTCCAGGAGCAGGTCGCAAAGGCCAGGCTCAGACAGGCGAGGGGGAGAGAAGGCATCTGCAGCATGATCCGGGATCAGGAGGTTAAACAGAGCCTGGAAAAAGAAGGGAGGATTGAAGTCCAGTAGATATCCTTTTGCATCCTACTGAAAGTAGGAGGAGGATTCCCAGGTTTCAAAGGGGACAAGAGGCACACAGGACACAGGCTGGCAGGCTTTTCAGCAAGGACACCTGTAAGATTGTGAGAAGGTGCAAACACAATCTTTTGGGGCACGTACATCTGAACTGACTAAAACTCTGAAAAATATCCAGCATGGGTCCCCACAGAACAGGGCAGGGAAAGGTTACTCAGCCCGGTGATCTTGGGCACATCTAAATGCTTCTGCTCACACTGGGCACTTTTGTAGCACTGTACATAGTGCAGCCTCCTGTTGCACTGCTTTTGGCATTATCATCCCAGGGATGTATGAGGGAGAGAAGACAGAACTAGAGAAAAGATTTTCCCAGAGCAAATTGATACCAGGAGGCAGAAGCAAATTTCCAGGCCCCTTCTCTAGACTCTACTTCACTCCATCATCTCTGCAGCTCAGCACGCACAAAGGGGTTCTCTTTCTGGAGATGAGTAAACAGAAAGCACAAACCCATTCCTCCTAGGAGTTTGTGGTGCTGACCACAACATTTTGAAGGGTGAAAGAAAAACCCAGATAGCTCATGAAATAGCGGGTTGCAACTTAACACATCATATTGTCACATCGAATGAAATTAGGTTTCCAAAAAAAAAAAGCTCCAAACCTCAAAAGTTAAGTTTTGCAGCTTACTAAATGGAGATTGTGATGAATCCCCTGCAATTCATTGGCAGAGAAAAGAAAAAGGGCCATGTTTAACAAATTGGGCCTAAAAGACATACAAAGCTGACTTTTTACAATGAAGCACACATCTGGACTAACCAGGCCTCTGGCATTTGTAACACGGAGTGATGGTTCCTCGGCTGATGGTTCCGCTCAGCCCTGCCCAGTGGTGACCAGAGATGCCACAATCTGCCAGCTGGCTGGTGGCCTGCTGCTGAAGATCTTTCTCATTCAGAGAGATTTTCTTTCAGCAGGGCCATGGCTACAGCTAGACTCTGCTGGCTGCCTCACTACGCAGGAAGGGCTGAGTGGACCAAGAGCAACTGAGCTATCCCACGCTCAGAGGACGGCTCTGGAAAAATGTGCAGGAGGAGATTACTGTTCCTGTTCTGTGGATAAACAGAGGACTTCAACCTGCTGCGCTGCCAATCCAGCCTCTTGTAACATCAGTATGAAAACACTGTAAGTTGTAAGAAACCATATATAATTTTATTTAACAGCAACCCGTCTCCTTGGATTGCAGCTGGTCTTCTGGCTCTCCAAAGGAGATGATTTTTCAGTCAAGCAGAACCAGTTAGCTCATGCTGCTAACATTACAGCATAATTGGTTCAGGAATAGGAGACTTGCCTGCAGTAGAAGTGTCAGGGCTCTGCAACACATTGCAAACCACAGGACCTCTCGGAGGTAGGGATCTTGCCTGTTCACCAGCTCCATTCTGAGCTTGACAGTTGCCTCAATAGGTCACTGATGCCAGGGAAACTCTCCCTCCAGTTTTGGAAACCTGGAATGATAAAGAGAGTACAGACACATAAAGGTACTTCTGCCTTCAGCCATATTTGTAAATCATGCACCTCTATTTACTTTTACCTCAAAAGGCTGCAAATCTACATGAACAAGAAAGTCACTTATGAAAGAGGCCATGGAATGGCGAGACGATGTAGAACTTTTCTTTGATACTCTGCCTATTAAAAAAAAAAAAATTCCCTGACTTCTTAACCTTGGCTAGGATGCAGGGGGAGAGAAGTATAACATGTACTCTCAGCCTGTTTCTTACTGGGCCAGTGTAAATACCAAAAGCAGTCTCATTGACCTCCTTACTGGCTGTCTCAGCGGAAACACCAGCAGCAAAAGCCACAACTCAGTGAAGCATCTACGCACGCATTCAAGTTCCAATGTGTTGAATGGGACTTAAATTTTTCTCCTTTTTTTTTTTTTTTTTTTTTTTTGAAGAGAGACATAATTAAATGTGGACTTTGAGTGTAAAATCCATGTAAGCACTTTGATGACAGGGGCTCTCAGTCAGTCAGACACAGCCAGGCACTCTCTCTTCTCTCTCCTGCTGCCCGTCCTGTGTTTGCTCCTGGGAAGCAGAGAACTCCTTTACTCAGGCCTGCCTTCCATGGCACCGATCCCACGAGCTATTTCTGGGCCAGGCTAAAATGCCTTCTCAGATATGGAGGCTTCCCACTCACACCCTCCATCGATCAAGGACAGCATCCTCCTGTCATGACACTTACATAACTCCACTCTCTCCACCTGTATTTTTCCAATATTTTGGCAGAGGTCCTGGTCTCCACAGTGAAGGCATCTGCCTGTCAGGCAAATTACATATGCTAAGGTGGCTCTCTTCCACGTCGTCCCCTGCAAACCTTACCTGGAAGCTTGAACCGCTTTGAGGAGTCTCACTGCTTTCCTTTCTTTACATTCTGGATTGACATTCTGGGACCAGCTACGCAAACTACTGGCTCAGAGCCACAAAGGCAGGCAATATCTGCTGTGCAGCTTTTTAAGATAACACATTTCTTCCGTTGGTTCCCTAGCCACCAACTGCTTTTCAGTTTGAGCAACAGAAGACCCAAAGTGCTCTCTAGGTTCCAGTGACACCACATCCTGCACTGTTTCCTACCTGCCATCTTTCTAATCCAGTATGGCTCTACTACATAAAGATCCCAGAGCACTTCACAAGCAATCCCTAATGGTCTAAAAACACTCTCAGATTTCCCTATTCCCATTTTACTGACAGAGAAAATTGAGAAGCTGGCATGTTAAAAACGGCACGGGAGAACAGAGAGCGAGTCATTGGCAAAACAAAAAACAAGACCCAAATATACTCATGTATAGCTCCAGTCCTTAACCACAGGGTTACGCTTCCTATTTTGCCACATATAAAACTTCTGATTTTGCTCATATTCTCCTCTTGCTCCAGAGCATTCATAGCTACAGACAAAGCAACTGGTGGGAGGCACATTCTACTGAATCACGAAGCTGCAATGTTATTTTAAGAGAGGGGATACTTCAGCCCAGCTGTAAATTCTATTAAAGCACATTCACAGCTGCAAACCCTATTAAAGTACAGAGGCAAAAAATTGTCCAAGCACTTTAAATATTTTTAAAAAGACAAAGAAAAAGCCTAGCTTGAACGTGCCAAGAAGGCTCAAATCAAACGGCTTTAAAAAGCCTGCTCCTGTCACGAAGCAGCGCACCTTGCAGCAGAAAGCAGCAAAGTCTACAAAAAGCTGCAACCCACAACCACCATTCTGGGAGAGAGCACAGTGTTACACAGAGCTCCAAAACCTCTGCTCCAAGAGCACCAAGAAGTGCTGCTGAAAAGATCACTTATACGAACACAAAAAGGCAGAAGGGGGTTAAAAATATCTTAGCAGAAAAAGACGTCAAGTCTTAATATTAAAGGTCTATTTCTCTCCGTGTTCTGTGTTTCTACCCATCCTTTTGCTCTTAGATAGGAATTCATTCTCGCTCACTCTGGAAACTAGACTATCAGAAAGGACACACGTATGAACGAAACAGATGCTGGACAAATAAACACGTCCATGAAAATATGAATTCTGAAGGCCTGTAAAAACGCAGTATAGACTGGTTACCACCCGGGGGCAGCAGGCACTTGCTACAAAGGCATTTCCTCCCTCCCCACACCACGGCAATCAGTTCCTGGTTATACTATAGGATTCCTATTAGGAAACCTATTTCAGCATGCTTACCGAAAACACAGCCATGGTTTAGGCATCTCTGCAATCTGCCATTACATTGAAGAGATACTCAAAACATATTTAAAAAACTGTTCTAACCGGTACTCCAAAACAGAGTGAAGAAAATAAAAGAGTGAATTTCAAAAATCCCGTTCATTTAGCATGGTTTCTGCCGGTCGGGGCACCCCGGGCTTCGCTGCCGAGCCCTGGCCACTTTCACCCTTGCTCAGTCTTGGTTGCCGGTCTGCAGGCAGAAACCCCAGCACAGCTTCGAAATGGACCTGAACTGAAAACGGTTTCAAGAAACGGGAACGTTTCTACTGTTGTACAGTAACAGCCCCACGTGTTTGAACAAAACCTACGTTAGACCAAAACGTAACACCACCTTTTCGATTGAGACGCCCGACCCACCGAGCGAAGCTGCTGAAGTTGGAGCTGCCAAGCGTTTACACCAGGCCTGAGAGCGCGCCGATCATTCCCCTGGCTCCCTGGGTGTTTTAACGTCTGCTTTACTCTTGTGCGCAGCCACAAGGCAAAACAGTAACAATAAACCCCACTTTGTGAAGGGCATTCACCGCGCGTACTGACTTGTGGTGCGGAGAAGCTAGGGACTGATAACTCCGTGTCTCTGGTGCTTCTTTCTGACAGCTAAAACTGTCACTGCCTGCACCTGGCACACGCCGACAGAAACGAAACGCAAAATTGTTTCTCCTCTCTTCGCAGATAAGAAAGGCCTGCTGCAATGTGCAGAGACTCCAGCAGAGGTTAGATCACGGTTGAAACGCTTAATAGGAACGTTTTCAAGGTTGGACACAATTATCGCTTGTCTGTTTATTAATGGATTAATATTCAACATGGCATAGAACCAATCGGCATTTGAAGCACAAAGGGGCTCAACCCCAAGGCAGGTCAGCTCAAGTGTTGCCATTAAACGTGTTCTTCGCCGTTGTCACAAGCCTCCCTAGAAGGGCCGGACCGGAGAACGCTCTGCTGTCTTGCACTGTACTGAGGTTTTCAGCCTCGGAAATCTAATCTTTCCGTTTCGCTTTTTATTAGCCAGGCCTTTTAAAAGGATTGGTTTGAGTATTCAGTACTGCCTCCAGTTTAAAAATAAAAAACAAATGACATCCAGCCCTTCCCCCTTCCTCCTCCTCGCTCCGATTAGTTTTTACTCAAAATGTCAAGAGGAAATATTTCTCAACGTTAATCCCACCCCACGAATGCGAATTCTAATTTCTGAACCTTTGGTGGAAAGCCCCCCAAAACTCATTTCCTTACGCGTAACTTGATGGCAGTTCAGGCCGAGGTGAGCACCAACCGCGGTTCAATCCCCATCAGTTTTCACTTTCACCGCTGAATCTCCTCGCCTCTGAAACCATCCCTTCCCCCTCCCACGCTTGGGAACGGGCAAAATCGGACTCGCGCCTTTAACGTACTGCGGCCTGGAGACCGGTTCCCCAGCGGGGTCAAAGAACAGAGAGGGGCAGACGACATCGGGCTTCTGACACGTCTACACTTGACCTTTTTGGTCATTCTTCCCCGGGCTGCCTGCGCCCAACGCACGAGGGCTCAGCGCTAGCTGCTCCAGCGAGGCGCGGGGGAGTCAAACCAGAACAGGACCAACAAGCACCGCGTCTCCACCGGGACGTACGACGGTGGGAGCCAAGGCTCCGGCCCCCAACCCGGACGTGCTCCCAGGGGCCACGGCAGGACGGCGGAGTCGTTCGGTTCTGCGGGGAGAGCGAGGTGACGGAGGCAGCGGGCAGAGCCGA